GGCAACCAGTAACAGAAACCAGTAGTCTTCAGCTGAAATGCTAAGTCCAAAATTGATCCGATAACCATCCGAAACTCACCCTAGACCCCCGAGACCTCAACTAAACATACTATCAAGTCCCAAAACACCATACGAATTTAGTCAAGTCCTCAAATCACTTCAAAGAACATCAAAAATACGAATCGCACATAGATTCAAGCCTAATGAACTAAGGAGTTTTTAACTTCTACAAACAACGCCGAACCCTATAAAATTATGTCCGATTGACCCCAAATTTTGCACACAAGTGGCAAATGACACCACGGACCTTCTCCAGCTTCAGAAACTTCAATCCAACCCCGATATCAAAAAGTCCACTTTCAGTGAAACTTTCCAAAAATTCAACTTTCGCCATTTCAAGCCTAATTCAGCTACGGACTCCCAAATCACAATCCAGACACGCTCCTAAGTCCAAAATCACTCAACGGAGCTAACGAGACCATCAAAACTCCATTCTGGAGTCGTTTACACATAAGTCAATATCCAGTCAACCTTTACAACTTAAGTTTCCCAACTTTGAGAGTAAGTGTCTCAATTCATTCCAAAATCCCTCCGGACGCGAACCGACTAATCCAGTAAGTCACGTAACAGCTATAAAGTACAAAAGAAGCAGTACATAGGGGAACGAAGCTATAACTCTCAAAAGGATCGACCGGGTCATTACACCTAGTTGCTCCTCTTCTTAATTCCTTCACTTTTTTCTTCTTTTTTGTGTTTCCTCTCTCTTTTCCCAAGCTGGTGTATTTCTCCTTGTGGTCCAATCGTTCATCTTCTTAATTCCTTCTTTTTTCTTGTGGTATTGTATTTCCTCTCTCTTTGCACATACTCATTTTTATTATTTATTGAGAATTATATATTTATTTTCTTTTTTTCATTCTAGATCTTTTTTATTATGATTTTAACCATTTATTTATCCATCTAATATTAAAGTGGCAGCATCAATAAATATAATATTAATCTAGCTATATATAAATTGAATAGGTGTATTTGCTAAATTAAATTTTAATTTTATTTTATATGTTATATTCATATTCAATAGAATTTAGATTGAGGGAATTGGATTGAATTGGAAAAAAATTGTTATGTTTGGTGATTACGTATGTATTTATGTACCAGAAATCTAATAAATTGGATTGAGTTATTTCAAAATGGATCGAACCGAACTGAATTAATTCAAAATGAGTTGATCGGACAAAAGGTACACCCTAATTCAATCTCCTTCGCTAGTGGTAAGTTTGTATTAAAATAGTGGCACCCGCAGTCATCAAATCCTAGATCCGCCTCTGCTCAAAACCTATACATAAATACACATATAAAGTGCATCTACATGCATATATATATATGAGGAGATTGAGAAACAAATAGAAGCAGAGTGAATAACAGAGAGAATGTGAGGGTTTATGGCGGGGTTTGTTCTATCCTTCAAAATATCATCTCAGTGTGTAATTTATATATTTGTTTGACTTATTTTCTTTTTCCCTTTTTCTTTCTTTTGTTTTGTTTTTATTTTTATTTCTCATTCAGTATGTATGTGCTTATTTTATCAGAATTTTTTTTATTTGAGGGCTCAAAATCGAAAACTCTAACCAAGGGTAGAAGAATCCTATCAACTTTACCATAATTCTCGATTGTGAATTGTGATAAACAAGACTTTTATACTTTTGTATGTAGCCAATGTGATAAGGAATTTGAGTTTCTTATCAAAGCTTTTAAAGTTTGATTTTCCTTTTGAATCAATTTGTAATTTTTTTCCTAGATAGAAAAACCATAAATGCCAAGATTTTTCTATTTCTAGAAAAGTGCTTTTGGCTCCCAAAAACTTGAAACAAACACGATATTCGAAAATAGAAAGAGGTTACAAAATTTGCAACTTTGGGAACTCGCAGAAAAAGGGGCAGTACCAGTAACAGTTTGTTTGGATGTATGGCATTTTGTATATTATATTATACCGTATTATTTGATGAATATAATATTTGCATAAATTATATCGTTTACGATTATTTTATGATATATAAAATATCATAAAATATATCATAAAATACGGTATAATACGGTAATATTATGCATAAAATACGGTATGCATAATATTATGCATACCGTATTTTATAATACGGTAATATATAAAATATCATAAAATATTTTATGATATATGCACCAGCAATATGAAGAATAAACTTGTAATATTATTAAAAAAAATTATGATATGGGATAAATTTATTATATAAAAGGTAGGATAAATAATAAAATAAAATTAATTAACAATAATGAAGGGTGAGATGATAGAAAACGACAAATAACAATGCAATTACACTAAATCGATCGTTATATAAAGTGATATATTTTGTCTTTACGTAACAATAAATTTAACAATACGATACAGTAAAATATAAATAACAACCAAAACAAACAGTAGTATATATTTAAAGTAACAATACACAAGGTAATAACCTTCAAAACAAACTGCAAGCGAATCGTCCCAATTCCCAACCCCAAAAGTTGCTATAACCAACTCGTCATCTCTATACTTCCCTTTCATTTCCATAATAATTGTTTCAATAGTTCTTCTTCGTAAAGCGCCCAAACAAAAGCAACTGCAAATTTCTCTTCTTTCTGTGTAAGAATTCATTACTAATCTTTAGTTTTTAATTGTTTATTTTTTCGTCGCTTTTACATGATGGATTTTCTGTTTTTTTTTTCCTTCCATTTGAAACGATGTGCTTTTGCAACTCTGGGTTTTGCTTCTCTTTAGAAGGTTTTAATGGGTGAATCTTGAACTACGTGGATTGATGAGGCTGTTGTACTCTTTTATGAAATTTATCTATGGATGTATGCCTCTTGGGCTTTGATTCAATGTTGTGCTAGACACATCACTCATGCCATCAGGGGCGGAGCTAGAGGCCAAAGTTACTGGGTTCGAATTCTGGTCTAAATTGTGTATTTGTCTCCAGAAATTCATTTACTATGTACTCTCTCCGTTCCAATTTAGATGAACCTGTTTGATTGGGCACAGAGTTTAGGAAAAAATAAATACTTTTGGAATTTGTGGTCCTAAACAAGCTAAAAGGGGTTCAGATTATTTGTGTGGTTATAAAAGCTTCTCATTAACTGTACAACTGGAAGTTTAACCTAAATTGTTTCTAAATATAGAAAGGAATCATTCTTTTTGGAACGGACTAAAAAAGGAAATAGGTTCACATAAACTAGAACGGAGGAAGTATAAATTATTAATTTAGAATGCAGTAACTTAAAATGGCTACACTCCTAAACCCATAAGTATCGAATCCTGGTTCTGCCTCTGCATGTCATGAGTTTGAATCATGTAGGTAAACTAAGGTCCCATTTTGGAGTTAATTGAGGTCTTAATCTGGATGGTTCAGACTTCAGACCATTAAGTTCATTTTTTTTTTGAAAAATAGTAGAAATTCTTTATGTTGAATGTGTTTCTCTTTGAGTGAGAATTATAGCTTGAATCTACATACTTCATGGTGGACTTCATTAAGAAGCTTCGATAAGATAAAGATATAGTAAGAAAATAGAGAGCCGGGAAAATCTGCTAGGCTAGAATTATTTGCAATCCTATTGAGCGCATCGGAGAAGTTTTATCAGGTTTCATCCTAAGTTGGCCAAATCTAGAAATGAATTGATTTTAATTTTCTTTCAGTTCTTATGCATACGTTGTAGGAACAAGTATCTTGTTACACTTACTAATACCTGAAAATTAGAAAGGAAAACGAGAGCAATAAGAGGAAATAAAGCACAATCAATTATTGCGTTCTCTTTCCTTTTTAATTTGGAGGGATATTTGCTAAGAGATGTAATGCTTTATGATTGATATCATGTCAGCTGCTTTTCTTTTTGTTTTTAATTTTGTCCTTTCTTATAATTGTAAAAGCTGAAGTAGATGAAGTTGATCTCTCAAGGTGTAGTTTGATGTTGCTCAAATGTCATATATGTCTCAACTTCTAAATTTTTCAGTCTCATTGTCACAAAAGTTTCCAGCCTTCTCATAAAACTGTTGGAGGCAAGAAAATTTTAAATTAAATGAATACAAAAAAAGTATATAAATACTTTTCTTATCAAAACAAAGTATGTAACTACTTCGTATTATCATATATTAGTGGAGATCTGGACTTTCTTGAATTTTTTCCAAGTCAGCGTTCTCAAGAATTTAAAACTAAGAAGGGATCGGGCAGAAAAAATCATTATTGGCCATTTTATATGTTGGTGATACATGAAACCAATGGCAGCATTTTTTTTTTATTTTAGTTAGCTTGTAAGGTCTAAAAGACCTAGAATCTGGTAATAGTTACACTGAAGACTTAGGAATTCCAAAAGATCCCTTGAGGTAGAAACTGAATTTTCTGCTTGACTCGCTAGCTAAGTTATCCAGGCTGCTGCTGCTCAATTTGCTTAGCTCCAACCATGCTGTATTTTGCATTCCCAATCTCTTAGAGCAGACTCCCACTGTCTTCAAGTAAGCTCCTGTTTGAAGCCTCTCTTGAGCATGCTGGTTGGATGAATGGTGTCTCGATCATGCAAGATTCTTATTCCACAGTTAGATTAGTTCCTCTATCTTATTTGCAATTTACAGTTCTATATCTCGTTGTGAATGGTAGATGGTCTTAAGGCTGCTCCTTCTACTATCCACACGCTAAATAATCATATCAAATTAACTTGTTTCCTCTATAGTTGTTTTGGATAAATTTTACTTATCTATGATGCGACTCAGTTTGCTCTAGGCGGCATTATCTCTTCTGCATGCCTCTGGCCATTCACATGATTTTACAATATGATTCTGTTCCGTGCGCCCACAAAATATTTACAGCAGAATAAAAAGGGAAAATTGCAAGAGGATGTGGCTGATTTATTTTTGCTTTGTTTCTGTCCTAGTTATCTTATTTCGTGTTTGAAATGTAGGGACTCAATGCTGTGCGACCTTGAAATTCTCTTCTATGTGGTAGTTCCTATGAAAGATATAAAAGAAAGTGGACAAGTCCCGGGAAGTATTGTCATCAAGCATCTTTTGGACCACCTTGCTTGTGTGAGGATTACAGAAGATTGCGGATACTTTCTCAGAATAACAAAAGTGAAAAGCATAGGCAATGGAAAGATGTACCAAGAGAAATACCAAAAGATAACAACGTCCTCATTGAAGTTCTTCCGATATCATGCCATCAAGGGGACAATGTGACTGCTTCAGCAGAAAACAAAGCTTCGAGTGACATTGCATGTAGCAAAGCAAATGATGGGCTGAACTCCACGGACTCATTGTCTAGACTTAAAACCAGCATTGGTGAGGAAAACAATACCTGTCATTCATCTGAACGCGACACAGTTTATGGCACGCCTAACAAAAATCAGTCTCTTCATAGTCTGTGGATAACTAGATTCTCAAACAGGACTCCCGGGACTACTGTTCTGAGTGCAGATAATCCCAAGCCAACTGCACATGAAACACTAACAGTTTCCACGGAATGCAGAAGGCCTAATCCTCAAGCTCAAACGAGTATCAAGTTGTGATTGAACACCAAAATCTCAGGCGCAAGGGAGACTTCGTCTGAAAACAATGATGTTGCAGCTAGCTCACATCCTATTATACCTTCTGCCAAGTTCAAGATATCCGAGGTGCTGGTCTCTCTATTTTCCAGGAGATTAGATGCCCTTAAACACATAGTACCATCTTCAACTAGAGGTGAGTACACAAGAACAACTTGTTTCTTCTGCGGCAGAAGTGGCCACGACTTACGCAACTGTTCAGAGGTGACAGTGTCTGAGTTAGAAGTTCTTATTAGAAACATCAGGGCCTATAATGGGGCTGAGGAATCTACTTGTCTGTGCATTAGATGTTTTCAAATTGATCATTGGGCTATTTCCTGCCCAACTTCATCTCCAAACCGGAACAGGAATGATAATTTGCAGCTCTTCACAGGCAATGAATATTCATCTAGCCTTGTGGAAATAAAGCAAAGTCAGCGGATTGAACTTGCTAATCATGCTTATCACAGTATAAATCAGCTTGGATTTGCAAGAACTTCTGGTTCCAATCAAATTCAGAAAAAGAGAACTTCTGATCCTTTGGAGAACAGTTTTAAAGAAAGTAAAATTTCTTCCAATCTTGTTAGTAAGGAGATAACAGATGTCACGAAAGGAATTTTTGATGTCATCAGGGGTCTCCGATTGTCTTGTGTGGATATTCTCAATTAAGCAAAGCATGTTATGCAAATTAGTATATTAATGTCAAGTTTTTTATTTCTTTAGATGTAGATTTAGGTAAAGCTTCCACAAAATAGATAGGCTAGAGTTAAATGCGATGGCATACATAAGATTCTGCATGAGCATTATCGATCTATTATCACAACTCGGCTAATATATGATTTTTAGTTTGGGGCAATAGAGGTTCTAAAGCTTTACTTCATGTCCCAATTTAATTTATTTGGCATTATTTACTGCTAGTGTCGCTCTGTTACATATATACCTATTGATTTTTTTCAGTCTAATTACGTTTTGAATTTTGGTTTCCTCAGATGGATGAACTCCAACACCTCACTATCACATTTGGATGGGCTTTTCCTGCGTTTACGATTAGGGAAGGGGGAAGCAGCGCGAGGAGGTACAGGATACTATGTTGCATGCATAACTGGTAAGCTTTCATTATAGTTTTCGTTACAAACTTTTTCCCTGCCTTTCAATACCGAACGGATTGTTATCTTTGTTTTTTTACACTTGTCAATATTTTCCTTTTCTGGAATCCATAGGTATAAAAGGAGAAAAATCTGAGAGAGATTCTAGGAACTGCATATCTAGTTCTGTCTGCGGCTATCTTCTCCTATTGATTAAGCTCTTCAAAGGAATTTTTTCTATTTCTTCTTTCTAAAGGCAAGGCTAAGCCATCCGCCCTTACCATGTTATTAACCGATCGAAACTTTAATACAACCTTTTCTGATCCTGCTGGAGGGGGAGACCTTATATTATACCAGCATCTCTTTTGGTTCTTCGGTCATCCAGAGGTGTATATTCCCATTCTGCCTGGATTCGGTATCATAAGTCATATCGAATCAGTAAATGTCTGTGGAGTCAAATGTTTTTCCAATATGTCTCCAACCAAGAGTTTTTGGAGGTCATATACTTTATAGTTACGCGTTATACATAGTTTTATATGGAGCTGTCGACGATAGTTTTTGTTTTCTGGGCAATCAAATGATGGTTCCTAATTCAACTAGACATAGGAAAAGCTAAGGTTATTATCATGCTTAGTTAACATTTCTGTTCTATCGTTTTATTTGGAAAGGTGTACCCTGCATCAAACCGCCTCTTTCAGAAATGCAGGGTAAGACTACGTATAATAGACCCTTGTGAGGCTATTATCATGTTAAGTACTTCGTTTTTCTTCTTCTAATTACGAAATTAATCACTTTGACGTGTAAGCATTAGATAACATGTTAAAGGAAACAGCATATTCATTTGCTTACTCGGCTGCATGATTATGCTAATTTGATGTTGCATCTAATTGTCCTGGTGTTGTTTTCACTTGACTCTTGTATCTGCGCTAATAAATTGCAGACACTAGACACTTTGAATTCACTGACTCTAAATATGAAATTCGCTTCTAATTCTTTACAGGATGAACTAACTACTTGGTGGCGCAAAACGTTGGAGAGTGGTGGGAAGGTTCCTGCAGAAGAAGATTTGAGACAAAAACTCGAGGAACGCATGAAACTAGGGTTCTAAGAACTTGTCACAGCAACACATTAGTACCGAGTTTGGTTCGTCCAAAAGACCAAGTGTCAAACCAGACCAAGAAATGAGCTATTCCACCATCTTGTAAATAAGATTTTGGGTGCTATTTCACAAAATTCTTTGTTCTTTTCATTTGGTATTCTAGACATATGAGATTGAGAATTCTTTTTTGGTGTTCATCTTTTGTATATAGATGAATTTGTTTGTGATCATAAGGCAATGAAATGTTAAATAACATGAGACAAAAAAGTTTTTGCTGGCAAATAAAGAATATTTTCCATTAGGAGCATCATCTTCTTGTGTTTCTGATTAGGGCCTGTGGCAATTTGCTGGAATCATTCTTGGTCTTTTGGATTCAGATATTTCTGTGAGAATATACCAAGTAACTTGAAGGGGAGCCCTAGCATTATTGGTAAAGTTGTTGTCATGTTATCATGTGACCAGGAGGTCACTTGGTAAAGTTGTTGCTATGTGATCATGTGACCAAGAGGTCACGGGTTTGAGTCGTAAAAACAGTTTCTTGCAAAAATGTAGAGTAAGGCTGCGTACAATAGACCCTTGTGGACAGGTCCTCCGCCAAACCAAGCTTAGTACACACCGGAATGCCCTTTTTATACCAAGTAACGAAAAGTGTAAAAAAAATTGTCTTTCTTTGTCCTTTTCTGGCGTTAGATTTTTGGTGTGGGATGACAATATTATGCTAATCTTCTTTATATCGCTAGTATTGAGTATGTCGTGGTATATTAATTAGATATTTTTGTCATACTTCAATTTTTCCTTTCCCATGATTAAGTTGTTCATATTTCATCTCTTCTTATCTTTCTGCTATAATGGGCCGGCATCATGGAGTATTTCGTGAAAGATTACTTATTTTCACAAGCCTTTTTATTTTCCACGAATAATTTGGATCCATTTGGTTTGCGGTCTAGTTAATGTAGGGATTATTTACGCGATAAATGATAATGTAGGAATTGTTACGGCGTTAATGATATTAGAATGAATGGCATGTAGTTTTATACTTTAAGGGGTCATTGGGGTCGTTTGGTTACCGCATTTGCTTGGATATATGTTCTCGATATAAGCAATATGAGGATTAATTTATACCATGATTTAAGGCGTAATATGGTTATCGTGTTACAGTGAATTTAAGGTGTAATACTAGTATTAGGATTAATAATCCCTGAGTAGTTACATGAAAGACCCAAATATATTGATTATATTCTTCCTTTTTCATTATGGTAAAAATTAAAAAATTAGAATTTTAAATAACATTCATTAACCTTGAATATTTTCTAAAATATTACATATTTTTTATGTGAATGGTAGAGATGCATTCAAAATGACTTGAATACTACCGTTATAAATAAGTTCACATAAAAACATATCGAAATCTTGTTTTATAAATCCAAACCATTAGTTTGGATTTTAGCTTGCCCGTTTAACTGTTATTTTTGTTTGTATTATTTTTCTAGTAATGAAAGACTACTTATATTAAAACAAATAGTAGTAATTCTTTTTGGATTTTGTATTGTACATCAATCAATATAAAATTATTATTTTTATCGGATGCAATTTATTATAGATAATTTTTTGATGTCAAGATGTCAAAAAGAAAGAAAATATATTATCCTATGAAAAAGTTAATTTATAAGGGGAAAAAATATTGATCAAAGAAAAGTACTCCAAAACTATTCTTGATCAAAGAAAGTCCAACCTATTAAATCTTCAATAAAGTGGTGCTCACAAATCTAAAACAAAATTCAGAAATTAAGAACTTGAAATATTGACCATGTCGACCAGAGCATAAAAAATTCAACCCTATCACTTTTTTGAAATCAAAGATTCACTTATCGGAAGAGACTCCTAATAAAATACTCTCAAGAAAGAAACATTAGAAAGATAGAAAACTTGTGTTTTGAAATTAAAATCACATCTCATTGTGATTATTTTTTTTTTCTTTTCCTTCAAGATTTGTGATTGTTCTTCCAATGCTTGAACAATGAATTTGAATAAAGGCCCTTCTCTAAATACTCATTGTGAGCACGTAATTTTTGCCTCACAAATAATACTCCTATAAATCCACAAAAATAGATTTTTTTTATTGTTTTAATTTTTCATAGAATTTCTAGGAATTTCTTGTTAATTATTGTTTGCATTTAGTTGCATATTTAATATCTTACAATCATAAGAAAATACCAAAAAATATCCAAAAATTTTCATTGCGTAGCGTTTTAGGTTTTATTTGCATTTTAGGATTTAATCACATATTAATTGCATTATCAAAAGAAAATCACAAAAATACAATGGTCATTTTACATTTTAGCTTCTAATTTTAAATTAATAATTTCTTTTTATTAGTCTTAAGTTTAAATTAATTAGTTAAGTAGTAGAAAATAGGTAAATAGATTAATTTGACAAATTAGATTTGAGTTAGGATTTAATTTGTTATGCTAATTATTTTATTTATAATTTAAAAAAAAAAAGAGAAAGAAAGAGGTCTTGTTCTAGTCCGATTTTGGGCCAAGCATTTCCAGTGGCCCAAATTTCCCAAAAACCTCACAATGCCCAGCCAAAACCAAGCCAAAACCAGTCCATCTCCACCGTAAATAAAAGGAATTTTTTCTTATCTATACCATATATGAAACCTTATTACCAAAAATGTTCATAATTTATTAATTATCCGCCCAGTCCACACTTTTACTACAATTTATATACCAATCCATAATTAGGCAGATTCTGCCATTTAAAACGCGCTAAAAAGAAGGCACGAAATCTGCGTTTGATTCTTTCCACATTAAATTCGAATTTTGAAACGGAAAGAGATCTCATTGCTGCGTAATTCTCTCATTCACTACAATTCTAAAACAACGCAAGCTTCAGAAGCTCCAGTACTCAAATTGCTTTTACAAATTCTACAACGCAATACAAATTGTAGAATTCAAAATTGTTCTTCATCGACCTTAGTGCTCAAATTATCGAACCTATATTTGTTCTTCATCTTTTTTCTCTCAACTACACGAAATCATGTCAAAAATCCCAATAATGCTAAAATTGAATGGAAATTGGGATCACTATGGCAGATTTAGAGATTTTGAAGTTGATGCCATTGTGGTAGATGAGAATGCAAGCTACGGAATTCTGATTTCTATAATTGCAGAACAACTATCGATTGATACATCAGATAAAATTGTAGAAATCAAATACATTGTGAACGACAATTGTCCTCCAATGGAGATTAGGAATGATATGGGGGTTCGTGTGTATATGGAGACCAAAAAGGAGAATAAGAACTTAGGTTCGTATCCTTTATGTATAAGCGTAAGAGATTTCAATATGGAATTGGCAATCACCAACGATAGCACAAGTGCAGGTATGTTTAATTCGACATTGCAGAGAGTTATTGTGTTAGTGTGTTATCTACAATATTACAACATTTATCTACTAATTAACTACAAAAAACAATGTATTGAAGCTCATAAAGCAATGTTGTTTTCAAAATTATCTACATAGTTACTACATTTATCTCTATGTTGTTGCAGGTTCGTCTGGATCCCTAAACTTACTTAAAATTCCATCCTCACCAGCTATAGAGGAATATCAAAGTGAAATAATAACTGAATCTACGCAAACATATATTGAAGAAGGACAAGTTTAGGAGGACAAGCAAACTGTAACTGCTGCAATGAAGAATTTATCTGTGATGCACAAATTCCAGTTCAGAGTAAAAAGATCTAGTCATAGAAGGTATGGATTTATTTGTGGAGAATATATCAGTAAAAGCAGTGTTTTAGTGAAGATATGTGGTTTTTATAAATTGTAGTTTAATTGTAGTTAAACTGTAGTTAATTGTAGTTTTTAACGAATTTGTGTTAAAACAATCCTTTTTGTTGCTTCTACATCTATAGCATGTATTAAATATTGTATTTTTTTGTAGCTACTGGCTTATATGCGTTGCTGAAAACTGTAAATGGCACTTCAAGGCAACGTCAATTAATGATTCGACAATGTTCAAGATAAGGAGTTTCAGCCGACAACACACATGCTCCTTATTGGACGACACATTCATACAGCGCAAACGTACTGCAGTTGTAGTTGGTAGCATGGTCATTCCAAAGTATTGTGATCCTAAGACTGTTTACACACCAAAGGACATACAAACTGACATGTTATCCGAACATGGACTGAACCTAAGCTACATGCAAGCATGGAGAGCCAAGGAAAAAGCTTTACAGTTTTTGAGAGGGAATCCGTCTGACTCCTACAACAAATTACCCAAATATTTTATATTCTTGAGGAGACTTATCCTGGTTCTGTTGTTAAATTGAAGAAGGCAGCAGATGATTGCTTCTTATACGCATTTGTTGCTCTTTGTACATCAATAAGTGCTTGGCAACATTGTAGGCCAGTAGTAATGGTTGATGGGACATTCTTAAAGTCAGCCTATAGGGGGATTATGCTTACAGCAAGCACCATGGATGTAGCAGATAAATAATATAATAATTTTGTAGTTATTTTGTAGGCATTCTATAAAATGTAGTTAAATTGTAGTTATTTTGTAGCTAAAGGAAAAAAGTGTAGATAAATTGTCTATATTCTGAATATATATTGTAGTTGTTATTTAATTATATTTTTATATACCTTTTCAGGGCTGCCAATTAATATTTTATGAATTAAAAATGTAGGTACTATATTTCCCTTGGCATATGCTGTGGTTGATTCTGAAAACGACGCGTCTTGGAAGTGGTTCTTTGAGCAATTCAAGGAGGCATATGGTGAAAGACCTTCAATGTGTGTTGTTTCAGATAGGAATGAGAGTATACTGAAGGCAACATCAATTGTCTATCCGGGCATGCCACACTACTCTTGCATGTGGCATATTTGGACAAATATAAGGTCCAAATTCAAGAAGGGACATCTACAATTACATGAATTGTACTTTGCTACAGCACGGTCATACACTCTGGATGAATTTAATGAAAGGATGTTGAAGATTGAAGAGGTAGACCCGCGTGTGAAATCTCACCTATATGATATTGGCTATCATAGATGGTCAAGAGTACATGCAACGGTGAATATAACTTTTACTATAACATCAAACATTGCCGAGTCGTTGAATGTTGTAACAAAAGAGGCAAGAGAGCTGCCAATATTTGATCTATTAGAGTATATGAGGACGCTTCTTGAACGTTGGACGAAAGAGAAGTTATTGAAGGCAAAGGGTACTTTCACATACCTTGAGTACAAATTCAACAAAGAATTGGATGACAACAATACATTATCTCAAAAACTAAGGGTAAGATCTGTTTGTTTGGTGCAAAAAAATAAATTGCTTAATATGCATTGTTTCCGGATTGTAGATAAACTGTAGTCAAATTGTGGGTAATTATAGATTGTAGATAAGTTGTAATGTATTTGTAGCTGATTTGTAGGTAAGTTGTGGATAATCCTTTTTAATGATTGATATATTATTATTTCTGTTTGTTCTTCAATTGTAGGTGAGGGCTTCAACAGATCATATACATACTGTGTTAGATGGTGTGAAGCGGTACATTGTATGTCTAGAAAACAAGAAATGTAGCTGCGGACAATTCCAACTTGATGAACTTCCATGTGCGCATGTTTTGGCAGCATTAAGGGACAGGAAGGAAACATACGAAAATTATTGCTCTCCGTATTACACAAGGAAGAGCCTTCTGCTAACCTATGAAATGCCAGTAAATCCTCTTCCTGATGAAAGCAAATAGGATGTGCCACAACATATTTTGGATGAGGTAGTAAAGCCACCGGCGGGANGCAAATGGGATGTGCCACAACATATTTTGGATGAGGTAGTAAAGCCACCGGCGGGAGATAAAAGGCAGCCAGGGAGACCTCACAAGGAAAGATATAAAACATTTGATGAAATAAAGTCAAAGAAGTACAAGGTGTCATGTGGAAATTGTGGAGGTGAAGGGCATAACAAAAGAACTTGCAAGAATGCGCCCAAAAAGAAATGAATATCATGTAGTTAGAATAGTTATTCAAAATAAATGTTAGTGAGTTCAAATTATCTGATTTTTTTGTGTAATCGTTCAAGTTTTTGAAGATGATTATGAAGTATACTACAATTTGTGTATTTGCGTTTAACATGATTTTATGTATTCTGTCAGGCATCTCAATTTGTCTTTTTTTATAGCTTAGTTAAACTTTAATATTTACTATATACAAAACAACTAATATTAATGAAGAATTCATTCAATGTAAACTGTTTCCAGATTGTAGTTAAAATGTACTTTAAATGTAGTCTAATTGTAGTCCTGTTAATAATTTGTAGATAATTTGTAGTTAAAATGTAGTTTAAATGTAGTTTAAATGTATTTAAATTGTTGTCTTGTTAATAATTTGTAGATGATTTGTAGATTAATTGTGGATAATTTATTTATTTGATTCTTGTATTTATTTCATATTTTGGTTGTGTACCTTAATTACAAATGACAGTTATATATAGAAATTACCTAGAACTTGAAGGTATTTCATAAAAATTACTTGAAGATTAAAGGCAAATTGTATTCTAGCAAATCGGAGTACTCAAGTTTAATGTAATGAAGATAAAGTGTTGTAAACAACCAAAATGACATATTTCCTACAGTGTATTCCACTTCAACTACAAAATGACATCAAACTAAACTAGGAATACAAGACTCTATTTCTTCTTTCTTTGTACTCTAGTCCTCTCATTTTTAGCAGGAGCACCCTTCCTCCTTACTAGTCTGCCTGTAACCTCACTTTCACTGATTGACCCATCTTCTTGCTTCTTTGTAGCATAGTCCCATAGTAGAGCTCCATAGCGTCTACGGTGTTGGTCGATATCAGAAAGATCTTCTTTTGGGATTGCCGAATCTCCAAGGCTAAAAAACTCCGCAAAAGCCGCCACAAATACACCACAATCGCTGCATAAGATCAATTTTTTTTATTATGTAACAATTGATTAAAATAAAATAATTAAACATATAGAAAGGGAGAATAGTTTTTTTACAGTGATCCTTCCTTTTGTTGTGGAATCTCCGCAACCATCCACTGTATGTTGAGAGGGTCTGTAACTGGTTTCTCAATGTATGCCTTTGTGGTCTTGAAGTCAATGTTATTACGTTTCCCGTAGCAACCAGTGCAAGACAAATACAGAGGGATAATGATTGAAAACTTATCAACCAATTATCAGTATTATGACGGTTTGAAGACACCATGGAATCATAAACATAAAGTTGCATGTCCGCTATGTCGAAAACGAGCAACAACCAATGGAAATTCTCTACAATGGTCACAAGCATGATGACATAGTCAACTACATCCCAGGCAACATTAGCAAGAAGTCTATACCCAAGGATAT